GAAAAGTCCCATTAACGGAGTTAATGCGAGAAAGTGCCGGGACCTCATTGTAGTTCTCAATAACAGAGGTTTCTCACTTATCCACGTTTAAAGGCGACAGGGGGAAACTTGAACAGGAGATGGGCAGCAACGTCCTCCTGATAACAACTTAAATTAATAAAAAACTGATTACCAACCCGCTTGCCAAGCGTGGGAACTAACTCACGATCCCCCAGGCAATCTATGGGGGAGGCCTATGTTCAGCAGTGGACTTCTATAGACTTTAATAGATAGATTGATTAATATATTGAATAACCACTTATACTCGGTATGTGAATCCAGGACCGTATTCAGCAGTCAAAATTACTTGAAATATGCGTGTTGTGTACTAAAGCGATTGATTGTTTTCCAATATAAATGTTTCCGATGTGTGACAATATAACCTCGTGAACTCTTTCAAAAATTGGTCATTACAAAAACACATCGCTTTCGTACAACACCTTACCAATGAGATGATAAATATATCAAACTTCAAGTGCGTGCGTGCGTGCGTGTGTGTGTGTGTGTGTGTGTGTATGTGTGCGCACAAAGTACTTTATACGTGACAGAGCCATGCTGCAGTACAGTAGTATAGTTGTAGCACGAATGGGTCGACTCGACTGGGGCAAAACCACGCTCTCACAGAATACCGGCGTAAAATAGTAGCTTAACGCTGCTGCGTTTCGTATGGTGAGTGTAGAGAACCGAGAACCCTTTATACTGAAAAAGGAGCATTCCATCTTAGTCCTCACGGGTGATAATGCATCTGCATTTCGTTTGAAGATAGATGTAGATGTCTATGGACCACAGAAACCATTTACCATCAGATGGACTGTGTGCTGCTTTGTCACTCTATCCTATAAAAAAAGCAGTGAAAATTAAGCTCGAAGGCCAGGTTTCAATACGACCACCACCATATCGGTTAAAATATCTCAAGTTACACAAGCATCGTTTTAATTAACTAACTTCTACTTTATAAGTAATTAAAAATCTTATTTAAGATACAATTCATAAACTTTGAGATGGGATCTTTATTAAGAAACTCAGTTCTCACACTTATTACTATTTGACTTGCTTCCAAGTGTTCAGCACTGCGCTTGAGAACGAATAAATACTTGGAAAGCGCAACATTAAAACCGCATTTATCAGGTACTTTCAGCAAAACCGACGGTACACTAATATCCATGTCAATATCTGTAAGGTAGGTAAAAGTGATATGATCACCTTAAGCTCTGTCGCCCTATAAAACCTAAACTAGGACAAGAACAGAGACAGAAACACAAAGTCGTAGTATGTTAAGAAAAAAATAGCAAAAAAGCTTTGGCAGTAATTAGCTAATTAGTAACACTTCGAAAAATCGATTTAAAAAAACAGTAAATGATTATAATGATAAATGTATATATATATATATATATATACATATATATTTAAAAAGCCTTTTGACCTTTCATTACTTGATTGCCTGATAAAGAGCTATCTTATCACAGAGCCATATAAGCAAAAAAGGCTGTATTTTTGAGTAAAAATAAAGTACCCATATTAACCGAAGAACAATATTACTCTCACGTACGCTATTTGGAGTTTTTTTTTATATAGAAGAGGGTGCAAACGAGCATACGGTTCACCTGATGTCAAGTGACTGCTGCCGCCCATGGACATCCGCAACACCAGAGAAATTGCAGGTTCGTAGCCGGCCCTTTAAAAAGGAGTAAACTCTTTTCTTGTAGGTCCCCAGCTCGTATTGGTCCAGAAAAATCGCCGGTGGTAAACTATTCCACAAAGAGGTCGTACGCGGAAGAAAACTCCTAGTGAAACATACAGTGGTGGATCGACAAGCATCCAGATGGTGTGGATGGTATCGGGAGGTTTACCGCGTAGTGCGTTCATGAAATTTGCCGGCTGGGATTAATCTGAACAATTCCTTAGAGCACTCCCCGTGATAGATGTCATAAAATATGCAAAGAGATGCAACATCTCTTCGCAACGCCAGTGAATCGAGCCGATCGGAAAGCACTCGGTCGTCGACGATTCGAGCCACACTGCGCTGGATGCGGTCAAGCGGTAGGAGCTGGCACTGGGGAGCCACAGCCCAGAGATGGGAACAGTATTCCATGTACGGCTGGAACTGTACCTTGTAAAGTTGCAGGCGGTGTGCCGGCATGAAATGCTGTCCCGCTCTGCCGAGCACGCCAAGCTTTTTAGAGGCCAATTTGGCCTTCTCTTCCAAGTGACCGCGAAACTGCACGTCACTCGATATGTCGACACCGAGGATTTCGATACTGGCTGAGACAACAAGGGTAGTGCCTTGAAACTGAGGAGAGACGACAAAGGGGTTCTTTTTGTGGTTAACGCGCAAACTTGTGTCTTCTGAGGGTTAAACTGGACTAGATTTAGTCGTCCCCAATTCAATACTTTGTTCAGCAAAGACTCGACTTCAGACACAAGCTTTTCCCGGTACTCGGAGACGTTTTCTCGAGAAATATTGGCATGGCCGGTTTACAGAGCATCACCAGTGCTGTCATCTGCATAGCAATGAATGTTGCCGGTTTGTAACATATCATTGATATGCAGAAGAAACAGCGTTGGTGATAGCATGCAGCCTTGTATTCCACAGCATTAACAGGCTTGCAATCGGAGCTTGCACCGTCTACTACGATGAAATGCCTCGTTTAGTAAATGGGTTCTCCGGTTCTCTACTCTCACCATACGAACCACGACAGCATTGAGCTGCTATTTTAAGCTGGTATTCCTTGAGATAGCGTGATCCCTCCTTGGTCGAGTCGACTTATTTATTTCACAACTATACTATATCTGTAGCATTGCTGTAACACTTACAATACGGTAGAACACTGTACCTATGGTAAGTTAAATATAACGAGCTAAATTTCTAGGGCTAAAAATTAAACCCAAAGCTAGGTGTCAATTCAACAAATACCGGTTGAAATATCGCAAGTTACACGAGCTCCTGTCCGTTTTAATTAGCAATGTTACTTTTTAATTAATTAAAAATTTTATTTAGGATCCGCACCAAAAACTTTGAGATGGGATCTTCATTAAAAAACTCAGTCTTACACTTATATCTATTTGACTTGCTGTAGTTTTTTACCACTGTGCTTAAGGCATGAATGAAATGATTAAATACTTCAAAAGCCCTACAATGAAACCTCATTTCACTTTGATGTCCTCATCTGATACAGCTTCCAAAACAGACGGTACAATAATATCCATATCAATATCTATAAGGAACGTGAGGGTAATATGGTAGAGGATAGAGACAAAACACAAAGTCGTTTAATGTAACTAGCAAACAAGCTTTTGACAATAATTAGAAACACTTCGAAAATAAACTTAAAAAAAAGTTATAACCATATTTACTATAATGTCAACTGTCAAAATGACCTTGAAAAAGCAATGCACTTTTGACCTTTTATTACCGATTGACTGATTTTTTTATAGAAGACGAGCATACGGCACCTGATGGTAAGTGATTACCGCCGCCCGTGAACAACTGCAACATCAATTGACTGATGGAGACGTACCGTATCTCAGAGCCATCTATGCAAACAATGCTGTAGTTTTTGAGTTACAAGAAAAATAAAATATTAACCGGATGACCATATTATCCTCACGTGTGTATGCTATGTGAACGTGTATTACTAATAAAAGTTTCCAGAATCTCGTAATAACATCATCCGCCAAAAACCACTGTTACGTTTTTTTTATAGGATATGGTGACAAACGAGCATACAGTCCACCTGATGGTAAGTGGTTGCTGTGGCCCATAGACATCTACATATCCTGAATTATGAATCAAAATGCAGATGCGTTGTCACTCGTGAGGACTACGTCCTCGTTAACAGAGGTAATAGAACTGTAGTGTCCTGGTTGTTTCAACTAATGAATATCTCAGCAATCAGCCTCCTTCAGAGGCAAAACTGACAACTCGCGTGGTTGCCAACTCGCCAGGTAAGTTTCGTAATTATGACAAAATTCCCCTATGAGGGGGGCAGTGGCATTTTTACAGTGTATAGTGAATAAATGAACACCTTAAAAACTAATCCGTCTTACTGCAAGTACCCGCCAACTCCCGATAGGATTAAGTTCTAAATCAATTGAATTATTAAATAGGTTAGGTGTGTAATTTGTATATCCTTATAATATCGAATCTATACATATAATTTATAGTAGTTTCTCATTTACCTAATTAACTCATTCTTTGCACCTCAACGTAGCAGATAACAAATGTTTATCATTTACAGCAGATTATCTTCAACTAGGAAATATATAAGGAAAATATATTTAATTAGTTTCTATTTTTATTGTATTGTATATAGACTTACTGTACTAAAACGGCAAAGATGAGCAGCACACCTGTCATTCCCCTGGTGTCGCAGATGTTCCTGCGCGATGTCTAATAGCATTTTAAGTCTATAGTAAAGAGCTTCTAGTAAGTGAATTCATATTTGTAGCAATACGATGTTACTGTGTATTATGATTAAACGAGTAGTGACTCTTGGTTCGAATCCAGGACTGATTTTAGCAGTGGAAATGCGATTTAATGCTGTGTACTATTATTACATTGTGACACCAACAAAAACGGTTGATTTATTAAATAATTTTTTTTTTTTTTTTTTTTTTATAGAAGAGGGGGCAAACGAGCATGTGGCTCACCTGATGTTAAGTGACTACCGCCGCCCATGATCAACTGCAACACCAGGGGAATTGCAGATGCGTTGCCGGCCCTTTAGAAAGGAGTAAGCTCTTTTCTTGAAGGTCCCCAGGTCGTATCGGTCCGGAAAAATCGCTGGTGGTAAATTATTCCACAGAGAGGTTGTACGCGGAAGAAAACTCCTTTTGAAACGTACAGTGGTGGACCGCCAAGCATCCAGATGGTGTGGATGGTATCGGGACGTTTGCCGCGTAGTGCGTTCACGAAATTTGGCGGCTGGGATTAATCCGAACAATTCCTCAGAGCACTCTCCATGGTATATGCGAAAGAAAATGCAAAGGGATGCAACATCTCTTCGCAGTGCCAGAGAATCGAGCCGATCGGAAAGCACTCGGTCGTCGACGATTCGAGCCGCTCTGCGCTGGATGTGGTCAAGTGGAAGGAGCTGGTACTGGGGAGCCCCAGCCCAGAGATGGGAACAGTATTCCATGTGCGGCCGAACCTGCGCCTTGTAAAGTTGCAGGCGGTGTGCCGGCATGAAATACTGTCCCGCTCTGCTGAGCACGCCAAGCTTTTTAGAGGCCAATTTGGCCTTCCCTTCCAAGTGACCACGAAACTGCACGTCACTCGATATGTCGACGCCGAGGATTCCGATACTGGCTGAGGCAACAAGGGGAGTGCCTTGAAACTGAGGAGATACGACAAAGGGGTTCTTTTTAGCGGTTAACGCGCAAACTTGTGTGTTCTAGGGGTTAAACTGGACTAGATTTAGTCGCCCCCAATTCGAGACTCTGTCCAGCAGAGACTCGACTTCAGACACAAGTTTGTCCCGGCACTCGGAGACGTTTTCCCGAGAAATATTGGCTCGGCCGGTGTAAAGAGCATCACCAGTGCTGTCATCTGCATAGCAATGAATGTTACGGGTCTGCAACATATCATTGATATGCAGAAGAAATATCGTTGGCGATAGCACGCAGCCCTGTGGAACACCAGCATTAATAGGCTTGCAATCGGAGCTTGCACCGTCTACAACGACCTTGATGCTCCGATCTGCAAGAAAACTGGTGATCCAATCGCACAATTTCTCGGGAAGCCCATAGGAAGGGAGCTTCGAAAGAAGCGCTTTGTGCCAAACCCGATCGAAGGCCTTCGCAATGTCCAAACTAACGGCCAATGCCTCCCCCTTGGACTCTACTGCCTCCGCCCATCTGTGAGTTAGGTAGACCAGAAGATCACCAGCTGACCTACCACGGCGAAAACCGTATTGGCGGTCACTAATCAGCTGGTGATCCTCAAGGTACCTCATGAGCTGGCAGTTTACAATGGACTCCATTGTTTTGGAGAACAAGGAAGTGATGGCGATAGGCCGGTAGTTGGACGGGTCTGAGCGGTCGCCTTTTTTAGGGATCGGGTGGACGAAAGCCGTCTTCCATGATTTTGGGACTACGCCTAGGGAGTAGGAGTACCGGAAAAAACGCGTTAAAACCGGTGCCAACTCTGGAGCACACGTCCTCAGCACAATTGGGGGGATTCCGTCAGGCCCACTCGACTTGTGGATGTCCAGGGAGAGGAGTGCTTTGCGAACCGAGCGCTGAGTAAACTGCACTTCCGGCATGGAGCACTCACACCGCGGGATGGTCGGCGGCGTACTCCCCCCGTCATCGAGAGTCGAGTTAGACGCAAAGAAAGAGCCTAGAAGATCGGCTTTCTCCTTTGCGGTGTGGGCCAGTGAGTCGTCCTCCCTGTGCAGAGATGGAAGAGATGGCTGACAGAAATTCCCCTGGACAGCCTTGGCGAGAGACCAGAATGTACGGGTTCCAGAAGGAAGACGAACTAGTTTCTCGCCAATTCTGCCTATGTGCTCTGACTTTGCCTTGGCAATGACTCTTTTGAAGGACCTAGAGGCGGAATTATACTTCTTTTTTAGAGCGCTGGTGTTTACATCCCTGGACGCTGATGCGTCAGCCCAGGCCTGGTAGCACTCCTGCTTATAGCATGATGCTATTTTACAGGAGCGACCAAACCATGGCTGAGATTTGCCTCCAATGGGCACCACAGAGGAAGGAATAAAAAGTTCCATACCCTGAAGTACCACATCAGCGACAGAATCCGCAACAACGTTGGGATCGTCCGGCGAGAAGCAAACCGGCCCCCAAGGGTAGGATGCAAAGAAAGACCGCATCCCATCCCAATCGGCTGACCTATAGTGCCAAACACGGCGGCAGCCTGCAGAATGCAACCGCGATTTCAGCGTGAGTGGCACCACATTCCGGACAAGACAATGGTCCGAGGAGCCTAAAGGGGCGTCGACGGAAATCTGATATCCGTCCGGGTGAGAGGTCAGCAGAAGGTCCAACAGGGAAGGTGCATGATCCTCCACATCTGGAATCCGCGTAGGCGAAGTAACCAGTTGTGTCAGACCATATGCCAAGGCAAAATCATGAACAGATCTCCCCGCATGATCGGTTAAACGTGAACCGAGCCATTCGGCGTGATGGGCGTTAAAGTTGCCGAGGATCACGATCTCTGCGGAGGGGATCTGCTGTAGCAACGAATCTGCAGCCATTTGGACGTGGTCGAAGAGTCGGTCTGTTTCGGCATTACCGCTGTGGGACCTATAGAGGCACCCGTAGACGCGCGGATGGTCGTCGCTGTCTACGCGTAGCCAAAGGATGGACAGGTTCGAACCTTCAAGTCTGCCGAGGCGTCGAGAACAGATGTCCTCTCTGACGTAAACGCAAACTCCAGCCCGAGGCACAAAGGAGTGTTCCAGTTTGTACCCCCGGGTAGGAGAGATACGAGACATCAGCCGGAGAGGAGACCTGCGTCTCGGTCAGAAAGAGCAGAGCCGGCTTCGCCGTCTCGAGATGGTAGTGGACGGCGTTTAGGTTGGAGTGAAGTCCCCTGATATTGCAGAAATTCACGGACAGCGTGGCAGGGGTCGCCTTGGTCTTGTTGCTCCGTTTGCCCCGAGCAGTTTTAGTCTTGAGCGGAATTTTGCCCCCCCCCAGAATACGCGGGGCAGCCTGAGCACCCACGCTCAGAAGTGGAAAAACATGGTCGTGGATGCTCAGCGAGGGATTCTCCAGGGGTGCTGGTACCCTCCTGGGGTAGTGTATCATTGAATTCCGCTACCATGTTGATGGGGGGGGGATTTGGGCCTCCGGCCACCTGCACTCACCAGACGAAACGCGGAAGCAGAGCTTCCACTTCACGCCGGTATTCTGTGAGGTCGTGGTACCACCCCGGTTTGAGCCGGCCCATACGTGCGACAGCAAAGCTGCCGCGTGGCTCTACCACTGTTAGAATTAAATTTAAAATAAATGCTTACCATCATCAATACACAAAACATAGACATCAATATTTTCAATATATGACAATATGAACTCGTGGACTTTCAAATATAGGTCATTACAAAAACTCACATCACTGTAATTTTATACAGTTATCTGAATACCAAATCTCGTCAAAATCGGTTGAATGGCTTAGTATTTCCTATACAAAGTTTTATACTCATTTCACCTTTTTTTATCGAAATTGGCAGTTTAACGGCTAATAACGACTAAACTAAAGTAGGCTTTACAGCCTACTTATCTGTGAAATCATCGTCGATGGTGTGTCTTTCCTGGAGTAGTGGTGATGTTTTTCTTTCACCGCTAGACAAGTGGTAAATCAGCACTTAAAATGTAAATTAACAATTTCATTGATGCCAGCGTGGAACAAAACCCGGGTTGTTCGCGTACAGTGAAATAAACAGCGAGTACTCAGTCCCTCAGTTACCACGGCTTCAAAGACTGTGTGTGTGTGTGTGTACAAAAAGCTATGAAAATTAAATCCGAAGGTCAGGTGTCTCTACGACCACCACCCTATCGATTAAAATATCGCAAATAACTCGAGTATCTGATCTTTTTAATTAATAAACTTCCACTTTTTAATTACGTAAAAAATTTATATAGGAAACTCAGTCTTACACTTATTTCTGTTTATTTGCTACGAAGCCGTCGGCACCGCTCTGTTGAAAGAATAAATACCTCGAAAGCGCTATATTGAAACCTCTTTTTACTTTGAGGTCCTATCTGGTACAGCTTACAAGACAGACTGTACACTAATATCCATGTCAATTTAAAATTTTAAAATGTATTTTTCTTTTAAGCTTCCAGAATTTCTTACTAATTTCGTCCACCAAGATCCATTGTTACGTTCTCGTTATTATAGATAATAGAAATGAAAGATTACCTGTTAATTAAATACATAAATAAATAGTGAGCTTTTAAGCTATGCTCATGGACAAAAGAAAAGTTTAATTTCTCCTATTGTAATTATCGTGCGTAATTGACACAAACATTAGTAAATGCTATCTAAAAAAGAAAGTTTTGTAAATTCTTAATTTCACTTTTATATGTAATTATTGCGTAAAATTGTGTTCATTCATACTGCAAAAAATTGACTAACTATTGAATTTGAATTTAAATGTAAGTATCGTTTAAATGTTTACCTTGAATGCCTTGTTTATCGTCTTAAGTGTGAACTTTTACTGCAAATAAACTGATAAACCTAAATCTAAATACTTACCACTTAAAATGCTAAAACTGTTATTTTAATTGAAACTGGGCACAACTAGAATATTTTATACGTGGCAGAGCCATGCTGCAGTTATATTATATATGTAGCCCGAATGGATCGGCTGGACCGGGGCAGGATCATGCTCTCACATAATACCAGCATAAAATAGCAGCGTTATGTTGCTGTTTTTCGTATGGTGAGTGTAGAGAACTAGAGACCCTTTTTATTGGAATGGAGGCATTCCATCTTAGTCCTCAGGGGTGACAACGCATTTGAGTTTTGATCCTTAATTGAGGATAAATGTGTATGTCTATGGGCCAGAGACACTTACCATCAGATGGACTGTATGCTCGCTTGTTACTCAATACCATAAAAAATGTGGCCCAAATATTACGAGTATCAAAATCTGTTAATGTACACCGAGTTAAAAAAATATCGGTAAATCCGACAATATACGAGACTTGCTGAACCTCTGTAAAAGGAAAACTGTGACCAGAGATAACCGGTTCATCGATACCAGCGTGCTTAGAAATCCGACTTTTACTTCTTCTGGGGTAACCATCAATTGATTGGCGTCACATTTTACCAGACATCAGCACCTTTAACGCTCTTCCCAGCCCTGGCATGGTTATTTTACGTCTGGTGTAAACGAGACGTTATACCGCCATCTGTAGCCTCCTTTTACGATACACATAGGGTGAATTGAAGTGAAGAATTCTCTTTCTCTTATACCGCCACCGTATGGCATGGATGATAGTTTTCGTACCATAATCATTATCATCATCATTACATCCGATCACAAGTCCCCTACTAAACGTAGGCCTTCACAAATAAATCCCACATAACACGGTTCTGAGCCATCTACATCTATCGAATTCCTGCATCGCTTATCAGTTCATTACTTCATGTAGTGTGTAGTATTCTTACAACACCCATGAGGTTGCTACTCGAAAACTCTTTCGTAAACATTACTTTTATCATATCCCATCGGATGGGGTAATAGCCAAACAGTGGTTTACAATAATTTAAACAAAATACCATTTACCCAAATGCTCGAAGGACCAATACCGATAGCACAGTCTAACTACTACTAACAGTCGG